TTTTTTCTTTTATGCTTTGATGAATTGAACAGTGGAAACAAAATGACATACTCCTAATTTGATCAGGGCTGTTTCACTTTCATTCTTTTGAATTTTTATGATATTTCTATGTGCTGACATTATGTTGCATTTCTTAATATGGGATCATAGCTTTGGATGCTAAGTAGACTATTGTTTGCCAAATTAAAGTGATATAAGTACATGCAGACACTGATACATTAAGGGATTGTCTGTTTCCGATGTGGAGCAAAATCACAAGTACAATTGCTTCTTATCTTCTTCTTCTTCTTTTTTTTTTCCGTTATTTTTTATCTTGTTCCCTTTAAGTATGGTTCATGTGGATGGGAATGGTGCAGCTGTTTTTTGAGAAATATTAGAAGATGCTAAGGTCCCGTTATGTAACCATTCAGTCGGGGTTTGTAATCGTTACGAAACCATTCCGTCAAGGTTTGTAACCGTTAGATCAACTATCCTTATATGATGATTTAACGGTTACAAATCTCGACAGAATGATTCCATAACGAGACCGTAGTATTCCTCGGATTTTTTTATTGCTAGCATATTAAAATTTTCTCCTAACTAGATTGGAAAAAGATTTGACTTCTTGTGCTGGTAGGTAATGAGTAAACCCTAGTGACCAATGGAAGTTTAATACGTGGCTCTAGGTTGGTTGTTGATAATTAAAGTTGGTTTTGGATTGGGGTGATGAATTGGATCAACTGCCATATTACGAAACATACCAAGTTTCAAATATTTTACCAATATAATTGACCAAATAGAATAGAAGAGAATATAGTTAGCATGAATTAGATCAACCACCATACAATAGGGTTTCTTTTATTGGTTGATCATGTTGTTGCAAATGAATTGAATTGAGTTGACCTCTTTGCAGGAGTAAGAAACATACACAAAATGATCGTTGCTTGTCAAATAATTAAGTCCCTATTGTTGTTAGGCAAACAAAATAAATTAAAGAAAAATTTCCTATTTATTTACTTGTCAAATAATTAAGTCCTAGTATTTATTATTAATAGGATTGTGACCAATCAGAGTAGTAGATAGTGAAAGAATTAAGGATAAATCTGTAACACCGACATATCAAAGGTTATGATCAAGTCAAAATTTAAATATGACAGTTGAATATGCAGTGACAATTTTGTAAATAAGTGTATACTTCGTGGTCAAATATACACATTTGACCATTAATTAAGGGCAATAGACATTACACATTTACCACACATGACAGTGGGACCCACCAAACTCTCTCTCTCTCTCTCTCTCTCTCTCTCATCGGACACACACTCATGACTCGAATCGCACACAATCTCACTCACGGCATCACAGAATCGCCGCCCGCCGGCGACTGCCGCCTTCCATGCTTATACTGCCTCGGAAAATCCTCTCGACCGCCGTTAGAACCGCTGCCGCCACCTCCACTGCCTTCCTCCGCTACTGCTGGAAGTCCACCACCAATATTATGCCCTCTACCGGAAACAACATCAACAGCGCCACAACCAGCCCTCCAAACAGCACAGCCATCAACCCCGCCACAGATGTACACAGATTCACAACCCGACATGGCCACAGCAATCCCCGTCGCTGACGAACCCGCAACTCTGTCGGTTTCATCCTCTTCCAGCTGACGTCTCCGGGTCAGCCCACGCCATCCTCGTCGCCATCACGCTCATCTTTCTATCCTCCGCCACCAGACTTCTCCTGGAATTTAATCAATATCTCTTTAAAACAGAAAAAAAATAAAAATGAGCACCACACTCCTAAAAAGTAAAACTTCAATAATTCACTTGAGGAGGATGTCCGATTTAAAGGTACCGTTGCCGGGATCGATCGGTGGCCGCGTACAAAGACAACAGAGGCGCGCTCGGGGTGAAAGAGGGGGGGGTATTGTTGTTGTGACGACGCTGAATTTGGAGAATCGGATAATTCCTAGGGACTTATCTGCAAATTAGTTATATTTCAATTAGTTCATGGGTTAAATTTATAATTTATTAAAAAATTAAAAGTGCACAACATTAATAAGTGAAAAATATTGAACTTTTGTTCCAAATCAAATAAATTGAACCGAAATATAAAAAAATAAAAACAATATTAATATTTATTTACATAGATCGGTTGGCTTGGGTATATTAAGTATTTTAATAAATAAACCGACATCGAATAGAAATAAACGAAATTTTAAAACTAAAAACAGATATTCGTGTTGAAATATGAAAATCAGAACAAAAAAATTTAGTTTGGTTAGTTTGGGTTGTTGTGCAGTTTGATAGTCTTTTTTTTCGAAACGATAGAGGTACTATAAATAAGCGCACAAATGTGCGAAAATACAAATAGGAAGGCTAGACCGAGGTCTGCCTAGAAGCGCTAGTAAGGCTAGAATGAAAACGACTCAAACCCAACACAAGAACCAACGACACAGACAAACTACTAGCTAAGCTCCCAAAGGGAGAAAAGAAACCGACCCAAAAGGGTAATGATATCGACCCCCACAGGGTAATGTTACTGGGGCCAACGGCCCAAACCAATAACACATCTTAAACAACACAATAACAAAAATACAAACCCCAACAGAAGAATGTAAACTGGGGCCAACGCCCAAACCAAAAACACGACTAAAACAACCCAATCACAAGGACACCAAAAACAGCAAGCAACAACACAACAAAAACAAGCAGACAAACACCTAAACTACCACACCCTCCCCCGAAGAAAGACGAGCTCGGACGAGCGGCAAACCGGATCACAGCTCGGTCCCTAGCCAAGGAACAGCTCCTGAAACTGTAATTAAGCCTATACAGAAACC